CTAACACCGATGTCCACCCCTTCCTCTACGTTTCAATACTCTCCGTCGACCACAGCTTCGAGTACTTCTCACTCGAGAGCCAAACGATGGACCACTTCTTAAGCTTGTATTTTAGTCATTTGAATGTGATTTTGAAAATTAGAAATAAAATACTTTTCAATGATTTGATTGTTTTGTTTGAATTAGATTTAAGTCAAGAATTGATGAGTAAATGAAAGTTTAGTTTCAATCAAAAGTAAGTTTATTTGAAATTCAGTCACAGTTTGACATTTGGTGACGGATTGCGAGCAAACGGCTGGCACTGAGGAATCGGTCCCCAAATGTTGTAAACAAACGGCAATTGTTGTGAAGTATTGGCGCTAAACGTATGCATCGATTGTCTACTCATTTGTCATTTGATTCACAGATAATCAGTGAACTGCTGGTCAATAGCACCGACAATGCCGCGAGAAATGATAACATTGCAACTGGGTCAGTGTGGCAACCAGAGTATGTATCCATTTAGACTATAGTACATGCCATCACCACACATGACATGTGGTGATTGGCCTCATAATGAGACTCGACAATGCCGCGAGAAATGATAACATTGCAACTGGGTCAGTGTGGCAACCAGAGTATGTATCCGTTTATACTATAGTATATGCCATCACCACACATGACATGTGGTGATTGGCCTCGTAATGAGACACTAACCACAACGACAACCATTGCATGTCTTTGACTGACAGTCGGCTTCGAGTTCTGGAAGAAGTTATGCGCAGAACATGCCATCAATTGTGAGGGTCTTCTGGAACCGTTCGCGAAAGAGGGAGTCGGAGACCGGAGAGACGTGTTCTTCTATCAGGCGGACGACAACCATTACATCCCGCGGGCGGTGCTCTTGGATTTGGAGCCGCGAGTGATAAACACTATAAAGAACGGCCCCTTCTCTAAGCTATACAATCACGAGAACATCTATCTGTCGAAAGGGGGCGGAGGCGCCGGAAACAACTGGGCGAAGGGCTACGGATGTGGAGAGAAGCTCAGCGAAGAGGTGTTTGACATCATTGAACGCGAGGCCGAGGGCTCCGACTCTTTGGAGGGCTTTGTTTTGTGTCATTCGATTGCCGGCGGAACCGGTTCTGGGATGGGATCCTATATTCTCGAGCGCCTTAACGATCACTTCCCCAAGAAGTTGATCCAAACGTATAGCGTGTTCCCCAACCAGGAGGAGGTGAGCGACGTTGTGGTCCAGCCCTACAACTCGCTGCTGACACTCAAACGTCTGGCACTGAATGCCGATTGTGTGGTTGTGTTGGACAATACGGCTCTCAATCGCATTGCTGTCGAGCGCCTACACATCGAGAACCCGACGTTCACTCAAATCAATTCATTGGTNACCAGGAGGAGGTGAGCGACGTTGTGGTCCAGCCCTACAACTCGCTGCTGACACTCAAACGTCTGGCACTGAATGCCGATTGTGTGGTTGTGTTGGACAATACGGCTCTCAATCGCATTGCTGTCGAGCGCCTACACATCGAGAACCCGACGTTCACTCAAATCAATTCATTGGTCTGTTTTGCAGTTTATTTGCTTTCATAACAAAAAACAATTAACTTTTAAAATATGTCCCAAAGGTGTCGACCATAATGTCGACCTCAACGGCAACCTTAAGATACCCGTCGTATATGAACAACGATCTGATAGGACTGATCGCACCATTAATACCGATGCCTCGGCTCCACTTCCTAATGACGGGATAC